TGGTGATTGATCCGGTGATTGATCCGGTGATTGATCCGGTGATTAATTCGGTGATTGACCCGGTGATTGATTCGGTGATTGACCCGGTGATTGATCCGGTGATTGATCCGGTGATTGATCCGGTGATTAATTCGGTGATTGACCCTGCGTAACAGGAGTTAGCTGGTAAGGACAAGGAGTGGCAGACGGAGGTGGGTCGTGTGAAGCTGACAGTGAAGGAGCAGAAGGCAATGCTAGAGGACCAGGCAGGTCAGCTGAGACAGCTAGAGCAGCAGAAATCTACTCTAGAGAAGAAACTAGCGGGTGAGTACTAGCGTGAGTACTAGCATGCGTGAGAATACGGTAACGTAATGTTAGAATACTCGTGTATGGATACGTCATAAATAGCATTGGCTATTATAAGTATTATAGACAAATATAATTAATATAATTAAGACATTATGTCACAACTTTTGCACAACACTGTACTTTGACATTTGACATTTTAGACTTTCACTATAATACTTCATAACTATTGACGTTTCTGACAATAGGCTCATAGCTGATTATGAGAATTCCATTTTACAGTTTATACAATCCTTTAAAACAGGTAACCAGACGGTGGAAACCATAACCACTGCCATTGCAGGCTAACATATCTCACACCTAACATATCTGCATGGACCCATGTATGCATTAGCATTATTGTATTAGAACTTTGAGTAGTAAACTCTGTGATAAGGATACATACTCACAACACGTTTGTGTGCCCCCGCTCGACCAAACACACGTCACTCCTCCACGCCATACATCACACGCGTGTACACGCGCGCTTGACAGACGACAAACACAACAGCTAGCGTAGTAGCAAACATGGCGGCTCACGTGATCGAGGCACCTTGCATAACAACTACACACAGCGTCCCCCCCCTAGCAACGATAACTCATGGAATGTTCAGATACGCGGTAAGATGTCTGCTCTCGTATGATCTCTCTGATCACACATACATGATCTCTCTGATCACACATACATGATCTCTCTGATCACACATACATGATCTCTCTGATCACACATACATG